AAAAAAAAAAAAAAAAAGAAGAAGAAGAAAGAGAAAATAGAGAGGGATGCAGAGATAGCCGTGCCTAATGGCTAAATATTAAAAGCAAAAGATTGAGAATGCAAAATGAATATAGATATGAGAAAGGAGGGTGCCTGGTCCTGCAATGGGTTGCTCATATTTATATCCCAACCCCCTCTTATAATTCCACATTTACACGCAACCCACCCCTCCCCAGTTCATCTATTAATCTCAATTCTCTGTTTACTTTTTTAATTTTACTTGCAATATTATCCTCTATTCATTCACCTGTCCTTGTTTCTGGACTATATAGCTTTCAATTTTTGCTTCTTTTCATCCTTTGTAAATATATTTAATAATAGGGCGGTTTGGTTGGATTCGGTTCGAGGTATTTAAGAACATTCATTTTTTTTTTGAACCGGTCGATTGATTCACGAATTTAAATTGTTTGCCAGTGTTGTTGAGATAGATTTGGTTGTATTGATGTTTGAGTGATTTGCACATTTGTCTGGCAATCTCTCTAGAAGCATACAAAACTGATGAATTAGGCATTGGAAAGTAGATCTAAGACATGTACTAAAGGATGAGGACAAACAAAAGCCACAAGAAAAGTGTGCATTTTCAACCTTGAAAACTTGTTTATAAATCTAGAGATAAGAGATCAAAACATTATTTTATATATTGAACTATGCTCGAAGATCAACTTTTTGAGTTTGACAAAACGGGACTGGATTTGAGCCAACACAATCGTAAATGAACCAAACTTTAAACGAATTGACCTTATTCATTGGGGGCATAGCAATAACTGCATAATTCGTTCAACGAAAACGAAATCGAAATCAAAACATAACTATACTTCTTCCCCCACATCATACCCAGACAAGTCCATCATTAATACTACTTTTGAGGATGTCAAAGAGAAGAACCTGTTTCTTCTTTTGCTTTTAAGCCTCTCGTCAAAACCAATCTGGTTGTGTGGGTTGTTTGTCCTGTAATCCATTACAATACTCTAGTGAATCTGCCCTTGAAAACGTACACCAGATATCCTAAAAGAAATTCAAAATAAGATGGGATAAAGTTAACAAAGCTGTTCACAATAGAATGTACATAACCAAAATCGACAGAGCGCATACCCATCGAGGAAAACCAAGACGACAAACGAAATGCCAAAAGCCTAGAAATGGTATCAACCTGTAAATTTCCATGTTATAATCCTTTGAGTTAAACTATGGAGGATTGCATAAACATCTTTGGTTGACTACCTTTTGGAATTCCTCGTGTTTTACGCTCTTTCAAGTTACTGGGAACGATAAATACAGAATCTACACAAACCCCACCTTTAGAATGCGTGCAGTCAATCTGTTTCATGGAAAATCTAATTTCCGTGGTCGATCCCGACTCATTGACAAAGAATTCACCTACCTTGTATTCTATCCAACACCCACGCTTGTGGTGTTCACTTTCAATAAATCTGTTCTCGTCTAAACAGAATTCATGTGTCGCTTGCTGTCCATCAGAAGTAGACATTTCGAACCGTACAGGCTTTACATCCCAACCGTGAGTATGCTCGAAGCTGCATCCACGTCGGCCGAGCCGCTTGTAGAACCTTCCAAGGTGAAGCCTGAAGGTCAGTGTATAGATATCAGCAGGAAAAGGGAATTTCACCATCCCATCTACTTCAAACCACCAAATTTGCTGCAGATATGCCACAACATTGAACCTGAAAAGATTGAGAAACATAAGAGGTGCGCTATAATTATGTAGGATCCTAACGCTTTGCAAAATAACAATCATCAAATAGACACGAACTCTAGCAACCCTGCTTGATGGAAATCACATTGCTCGGATGCACAACAGCCACTCATTACAAATGTTATAGAAGTCTATAATCTTTCCTTGTTACTTCCCACACAATCTAAGGACCCCCACTTAGTTTCTGACTACATTCATTCACGTGTAAATGTAAAGGACTGATCATGAACTTTCTCAAGCACCTCATTCACTTTGAGTATATTGATATAAAACTGAATTCATAAATCACCAGAACACCATAGATCCAAAAGAAAAGTTGTCCAACACAGGGCAACATTACACAAAATCTGACAAGGTTTAGTCTTTGATGCTTTGAGACTAAAGCAAAAGTTTAAGAGAGTCTTCATTTCTGGGAATTTCTAAATTTGTGTAATCAATGGAGATTGTCGTTAGCCCCTCACCAAAGAGAAAAGACATCCGGAAGCTGAAAAAAGCAATATTCACATATAGAGTTCAAGATGCAAAATCCTCAGAAAAGACTTGATAGTCATAGCAGCACCTAAAACCAAAAACATAATTCAGAAATTTGTTCAAAAGGTACATTAAAACTGAACCAAACATGACAGAAATACTATATGTCGAACCATTTTTTAAACTTATGAAGAGAAATTAAAATAAAAAGATAACGACCAGTTCCATCCAGACAAACAATGAGTTTGTTGAAAAAAAATCATGCCCATGTCATCATCCAAGTACAAAACAAAAAGGAAGGAACTAGCAGCAGGACTGAGCAGTCTAAAACAACAAATATCAATGACAAACCAACAATTCAGTTTTTCATGACCATCACAGCAACGAAACATATTATCATTCTTCAGTAATATCACTCCTTATTTACCAAAAATCACATCAAATGCCTCCACCAATTACCAGTTTACTCACAAAACAGCATTTTGATAAATTGATACTTTAGTCACATATGACAGAACGAGTTTTCATCATATCCTAACAATTGCAGCAACAAAGAAACAAAATAATCAGAAAGAACCAGAGGAGTCAAAGAATTCAAAACCCAGTGGCATATGTAAGCCACTCACCTCCCGTCCATAGAGGCATAGATACATCTTCCATCAAAATGCAAACCACCTCTTTTGCAAGTAAATCATGAATAAAACTTTTCATTACTTGAACGAATTGGCTAATTCAAACCCAATTCAAGATCAAAAAGCCTACAAAGACCAACTAAAAGTTGCGTAATAAGTTTCAAGCTAAGGATAATCCGAGTCTAACCGAGACTCTTCAGTCGAAATCCAATTCCAGTATCTTCTATCATCAATTCCAGTTATAGACATGGCCTTCGCTGATATTGACATGCAAATCTTTCCCGTGATTCTGTCCAGCCACACCTCCTGTAAAGGTTCAAAATTCCATAAACCAACATCCCTTCCTCCACAATTATACTCCCAAAAACACAAAAAGAGGGGGCGGGGGAAATCAATTGTCGAACTCTAAAGGATCAACCAAGAAAAACCCTAACAAATAAATTCCAACCCAGAAAAAAAGAAACAGAAAGGAAATGAAATCTTGCAATGGGAAAGACGACGAACCACCTTATTTCCATCATCGAATGGCACCGGCCGAGATAGCAGTGCGTATATGTCCTTTCTTGACAGATTTTGATACCGTTGGGGGGGCAGCAAATCGAGAAGATCTTGATAATTTGAAGGCAATTTTGATTGCCAAACGGAATCCGACGAGGCGGCGCCGCGAAACGCTCTGTTAAGCCGCGCAAGGTTGCAAATCTGTGGCGGAGTCAGGTAAAGAAAAACACAGGCGACGCAACTCTCGGGTATGTCTCCGAGGCCAGGATCGTTGGTGGAGCCATTGGCAACTTCAGCCAAGTAAGAGAGCAAGGCTCCCATCGGCGCCGACGGTAGAGTCCCAAATCAATACCTCAAAATTTCCCGCAATTTCTTCAGGTCATCGCTTAATCGCCGGCAGAAAAGCATTCAAGATTAGTTTATCACAAAACCGCGTCCCTCGTCCAACGGTTTTAGGAATTCGAAATCCGGACACGGATTTCCATGATACCCCACAAATAAATACAATTTCCAAAGAGAAGTTTTGGGCTTTTCGGACAGGAACGTGGATGGAGGAAAGGCAAATGGGGGCAAAACAAAAAGAGAGTGGCGAGCTACAAGAAAAGTAACGAAGAGAAATGAAACGACGCATCGGATTAGGATAAGAAAATGCACCAAATCGAAGAAATTTGAGAGGTGTTTGGAGGGCTAGCGCAGCTTGATTCGAATTCAAAATGGACCGTAACATATTCAAAACAGAGAAGATGGAAAAGGACGTGGAAGAAGGCGAGTGGTGGGTCGTCGGAATTACAGCTTTGGGATGAATTGAAATTGGGTTCTTTTGGTTTCGGCCATTGAAGAACAGTGAAGCCCCACTGCGGCGCTATGGATCGTCGATCTCGTCTCCTTTGTGGGTCATCAACTTTTGATGTAAAGCCGAAGGAATCAGAGATCTTTTCTCGTACTTCCGCACATTTTGAATCTGTTATAATTTCCCGATATGGATCAAATATCCATCTTTCTCTGGAACATCTTTTTAACTAAATTATCAGGAGTCAAAATTTGGAGTTCACATTATCCAAAAAGTAAAAAAGAAGAATAATTATTTAAAATGATGAAACACGATGTAGTCATTTTTTTCAATAACTAAGGAAGAGTAGAGCAAAAAAAAAGAAAAAATAAAAAGATTGTGGTTTTCGAGATACGTACGTGGAATAGCAATGTGTCTAACGGCGAGGCCATTTCCCAAACCAACAACAAAACATTTCCCCCCTTCTTCTCTCCACAGGTTTCTTCTAAAAATACTGTGGGTTTCCAGTTTCCAGTTTTCATCTTTTTCCTCTACCACCTCGCTTACCTCCCAAAACCATGGGCGGTTTTCTGTCAACCCAATTCCACAATCCACTCTTCCCAAACCGGCTGCCCCCTTCTATCTATATACTCTCTCATCCATGGTCTCTTTCACTCTATCCAATAAGCCCACTGTTCTTCTCTCTGTCTCTCTCTCTAAGAACATTCTTCAAATTTTGAGTGTTAGGGACAGTCTTCTGCTAACATTCTATAGCTAGTCAGGAATTTCTGTTTCTGGGTTTGTGTTTATTTCTAGATTTAGTAACGGTAAATCGAGAAAACTAGGGGGTGGTTTTAATGGAACCCAATAGTTTAGGCGGCGGCGGCGGTGCTAGTGGAGGGATGTTTCCCGGCATTAGTTCGTCAATGCTGGGATTGGAATTGCCACTTCATCAAATCCCATCAAATCCTCACCAATTACACCACCCCCCAATGGTGTCATATGTCCCACACGAGGCCCACCACCAACAACAACCGCCGCCGGCCGCAGTGAAATGCCCATACCCGGCGAAGCCTAAGCCGCAGCAGTCAAATGTCAGCGACGAGGAGGAGCAGGGATTAGCGGACGACAGCAACAGCGACGCCAAGAAGAAAATCTCGCCGTGGCAGAGGATGAAATGGACGGACATGATGGTCCGGCTGCTGATCACGGCGGTGTTTTACATCGGCGACGAAGGTGGGTCGGAGCCGATGGACCATGCCAGCAAGAAAAAACCAGTGGGGCTTCTGCAAAAGAAGGGGAAATGGAAATCCGTATCCAGAGCAATGATGGAAAAAGGATTCTACGTTTCACCGCAGCAATGCGAAGACAAATTTAACGATTTAAATAAAAGATACAAACGAGTTAACGACATTTTGGGGAAGGGCACCGCCTGCAGAGTCGTCGAGAATCACACCCTATTGGAATCAATGGAATTAACACCGAAAGTGAAAGAAGAAGTCCGAAAATTACTCAATTCTAAACATCTTTTCTTCAGAGAAATGTGCGCTTACCACAACACTTGCCGTCATGGCGCCGGCAACAGCGGCGGCGGCGGTGCCAATACCTTACCGGAGACGGGGGCAGAACCATCCCACCTTCCACAACAACAACAACAGCAACGATGCTTCCACGCGACGGAGACCGCTCCTGTCGCCACGGCCGGCGAGGGTTCGAAAAGCGGAGATGAGGAAGAGGAAGACGAGGATGAGGATGATGAATCGGAAGAAGACGATGAGGAGGAGGAGGAGGAGGAGGAGGAGGTTGAAGGAAGTTCGAGAGTACAGGAAGAGGAGGAGGAAACGGAATCGAAGAAGAGGGGGAGAAAAGAAGGATTCACAGCGGGGATTCAGCAGATGAGTGCGGAGGTGATGGGAGTTGTGCAGGACGGGGGGAGGAGCCCGTGGGAGAAGAAGCAGTGGATGAAGAGGCGATTGATTCAGCTAGAAGAGCAGCAAGTGAAATACCAATCGCAGGGCTTAGAGATTGAGAAACAGAGACTGAAATGGCTGAAGTTTAGGAGGAAGAAGGAGAGGGATATGGAGAGAGCGAAGCTGGAGAACGAGAAGAGAAGGCTGGAAAATGAGAGGATGATGCTGATGGTGAAGCAGAAGGAACTCGATTTGACGGATCTGCACAATTATCAGCAGCAGCAGCAGCAGCATTCCTCGAACAGGCGAGGTGATCCATCTTCGATCACAGGTTGAAGATGATGAAGAAGAAGAAAGGGATTAGGGTTTTTGAATTTGGGGGTTGAAATGTAATTTAAAATAATTATAAACCCCGTTTGGTTTGGTTTTTCAATATTTTATTTATAACTGATTAAGATTTTGTCTGATAGATGTCGGATAATTCTGAATAAACCAAACAGAAGCTTTTCATTTCTTTTTTTCTTTTTTTGTTTTTGTATTATTAATTATTATTTTTAATCTGCAAGAAAATAAATTTTGTATTTTAAAATGGATTTCCTTAATATCATTTGGACCACACAAAAGGCTATTATTGGGCCCAGCCCATCTTCGTGACCAAGCCCAAAAATTTAAGGCAAATTAGAGGAATATTGCAAAAAAAAAAAAAAAAAAAAAAAAAAAAAAAAAAAAAAAAAAAAAAAAAGCCAAATGGCGGCTAAACCCTAAACGTTTTATATTATCTTTTATTATTTAATATAACATTTATGCATCCACGTTTTATTGTACTAAAAAAGAAAAAGAAAATAGAATAAACATTTTATATTATCTTTATCTTTTTGTATGCAAATGTAAAAAGGTTTAATATATTTTTTGAAATATCTGTGTTTTATTGGTCATTATTCTTAAAAAGGTATTTTATTGATTAATTAAACTTGTGGCATATTTTGTCCATCAAGGACGTGACTGATTTGATAAGTAGGGGTAGTATCGATAATTAGTGAAACTAAGAAGGGTATTTGTGGAAACGAGAAGGCATGTTAACGATCGTCACGGAGCCTCAACGATAAGGGCCCCACCGTGTGGGAAGAGGATAGAAATTTCTCGGTACTTAACGGAACCGTGAGAAGCCGTGACGTGGGAAGTCTTGAGCAGTTCACGGTAGGGTGTGTTCCGTCAAATCCCTTTCGTGAGAATTTGAAAACGCCCTCAACGTTTGGCTCTCCTTCCCTAACGCCGTCGTTCCGGTGAAGCTTGAATCCTAACCCTAACGTCCTCTAATGGCTTCCTGTGACGACGACTTCTCTCTCCTCAGCGACGACCACCACCACCACCACCAACAACACCACCAATCTACCGCCAACCACCATCATGTACCAACTCCTAACCACATCCATCAATCATATGCTCCTCACCGCTTCACGCCTCGAGCGTCTTCCGTTCACGCGTCGCCACCGCCACCTCCCAATCAACCGGCTCAACCGATTCTCGCGCCGTCTGGAAGTCCGAAGAAGATCGGCGGCCCGATAGATGAGGAGGGGGAGGAAGACGATGGGGAGGATTATGGTGATGCTGCTTTCTGCTCCAGTTCGTTTGATAATGGAGATCCGAATCGGCTTGGTGTTGGTGTTGATGTGCGGGTTGAGAAGAGGAAGGATCAGTCGGATGAGCTTGGGGAGGAAGGAGGTTCTTATAGTTATAAAAGAGCGAAGCCTTCCTCCAGTGGCGGAGAATACAGGAAGGATCGAGAGGAGTGGAGCGATGCGGCTATCTCCTGCCTTCTGGACGCGTATACCGAGAAATTTACGCAGCTGAATAGGGGAAATTTGAGGGGGAGGGACTGGGAGGAAGTGGCTGCAACTGTCAGTGAACGGTGCGAGAAGCAGAGCAAGAGCGTAGAACAGTGTAAGAACAAGGTGGACAACTTAAAAAAGAGGTATAAGTTGGAGAGGCAGAGGATGAGTAACGGTGGCGTTTCGATCAGCCACTGGCCTTGGTTCAAGCAGATGGAGCAGATTGTTGGAAATTCTTTGACAATGAAGGTTGTGTCTGACGATGATCGGAGTGTTGCTTCATCAGGGAATACTCCGAGGATATCAAAGAGGTTCTACTTCTTACCGTCTCTTTCTTCCCCGGATCTACCATTCTACAAAACAAAACATGTTTTGGGAAAATGGGTGTTCTTTCAGATCTGTGTTGTGTGTGTTTTTCGATTACCATGAGTTCTTGAGTGCATAGTCAATTGTCTATTTGAGTAATAACTCTACAAGATACACAATTTCTTTACACGTTTTTGCTGACGGGGGTTGTTATTCATTGTATATCTGCAATTCTTTCATCCTCGGAATTTCGTATTCACTGGTCATTGCTCTGGAGTGAAAGGAGCAGTTTGAAATTCTAAGTGCATATCTTTATTAACAGCTCTTAGATCTTACTGGATCAAGCTCGTACATTAATTGTAGTGAATGTTTAGAACTATGTCCCAAAACAGTGTTAGCCGCAGTGACGCTTTCAGATGTACAATGGTTTCTGTGTCTGGAAAAATCTATAGTGTATCAATAGTGTATGATTTCTGTCTGGTGTTTCCTCTCTTTGTTCATAGCATATGTGCTTTGCAGTTTGCTGGCGTGTCAATGTACCCATGTTTATGTTTGCGGGATGAACCAATCTTTGGAAGCAGATTAGAGTTTCCATTCGCACGCCTTATCATACTATTACCAATATGGTGTATTTTGTTGTGTACTCACTGCTGAGTAGTTTGGAGTTGGTTTAGACGAATATATAAGAAACAAATATTTGGACATGTCTTGTTGATTTGCTTCATTTTTTAAAATGGGTCAATGAACCTCATGTTAATGATAAGCTGTTCTTTTTTTTTTTTTTTTTTTTTTTTTTTTTTTTTTTTTTTTTTTTTTTTTTTTTTTTTTTTTTTTTTGTTCTTTTTTGAGTTTGATTAGAGTTCCATGGTAGTTTTGTTCACGAGGTAACAACAGTTATTGTTTTTGCAATCGATTGCAGGTATGTTCTTCCCACACCCAATACTGCTGGTCACATGAATAATGTAAAACCCAAAGCAGTTACCAGTCCAAGGTGGCGAAGAGTCGTGTTTAAAATCAGTGGTGAAGCTCTTGCAGGGACTGGTCCTAACAACATTGACTCAAAGGTTTAATAGAATTTTCTTGTGACATTCTCAGTGAGTTTATAATGTTATATCGTTAAGACGATTGGATAGTTGCCAGCATCAAATCTGTTTCTCTGATGATTAGGTTGCAATGGCAATCGCCAGGGAAGTTGTAATGGCCTGTCGCCTGGGTGTGGAGGTATTAATTATTGCCAACCATTTTTTATCGCTTCTTTCCCTTTTTTCACACTGGACTATAATTTTTGGTTAAAATATTGCAGGTGGCAATTGTTGTTGGAGGTCGTAACTTCTTCTGTGGAGACTCTTGGGTGACTACAACAGGTTTAGATAGATGTACAGCATACCAAATTGGGTGCGTTTTTACTCTCCTCCTTGGTGATACAAAATCTAAATCCTCTTTCTCATTATTTAGTTGGCCGTTTTTTTTTTTTTAACAAAGCTTTAATCACACTTTCTCTCCTAAAAAAGAGAACATAGACCTTCCAGACCTACATTCTGTTGATGTTAATGAAAACTTAGAGATGTCTGTCATCCAGAATAGGAATCAAGAGGCTATTTCCCCAAATGCTAGAGATGTGGGAAAAATCATGAAAAATGTCAAGATAATGTGAATCTCAAGAGATTTTGATATTTAGATAAATTAACAAAAACTTTCTAATTTTTAAAAATTGTTTCATTGACACTGATACTATTGCTATGATTTATCATATGTCCATTGTGGCATTCTGTAGTTGTATGAGACTGCCATCCGCTTCATCTTTGTTGGTGTTGACATGCCTTTTTCCGTTTCTTTCTTCTTATAGGATTCCTGTGTTTTT